CACTACTCCCAACAGATGTTGGACCATGGGGCGTACAACTTCCCGGGAGGCACCTACGATCGCCACCTCCTCCCGGCACAAGCGCCCCAACACTTCAACGAGATTCTTCTCCACGAAGAACTCTATGAGGACTAACGTACCCCTAGTCCTCGCCCCCCTGTCCTCGCCTCCACCTGGCCAGGGGGTAACTTCTCCCACCCCGCTACGCTCCCTCCCTGTTCTGCCTTTGGCTTTTGGGTTGAACGACTCAAGGCTGTCCCGTGGAACATCACATTCCCGGGACTTCCTTTTGCCGTGTGGGATCCATCCGGGACTCCCCAGTCCCGAATGGTACCCCGGGACTGGAGACGTTCGGCTCAGTAAATGGCCGAGTCTCTCCACTCACCTAATCTTCTACTAGTCGTGTCTAGCTGCTCTGGGCGAGCGCAGCTTGTCTGCGCTCGGTGTTGAGCAGCAACACGCCTGGGGAACCCCCCGTCCGAGTTTCCACGCCCCGTAGCATGGAAACTTGAACCCTGATGGGTTCTCGCAACTATGACCCTAATCATGGTTGCCGAGAGGACCATCTCACAAATTGCAAAATTAATTCCCGCGCTCCTCACCTACAACTCAAGTACATCTCTACATCTCGCAGGTCATCACCTGTGTTCCAGAAATGGATACCCCACATGATGATGCACCACATCAGCTCCTCAATGCCTCTCGAACAAGATTACCCTTAAGGCAACGACGCCCGTCCAAGACCACATTTGGCAAGATCGACAGCGGCAACCATGAATCACTAAAGCCAGCAACCTAGCCAAGATCAGCCATTGAACTGCCAATCGCAAGAAGGTTGTCTCTCTCTCAGCTCACAATTCTTCATTCAGCCGATGCTGAAGGCAAGAACCTAGATTAGATTAACCCACCTCTCCCTCCCTGGTTGCACGACTCAAGGCTGTCCCGTGGAACATCACATTCCCGGGACTCCCTTTTGCCGTGTGGGATCCATCCGGGACTCCCCAGTCCTGAATGGTACCCCGGGACTGGAGACGGTCGGCTCAGTAAATGGCCGAGTCTCTCCACTCACCTAATCCTCTACTAGTCGTGTCTAGCTGCTCTGGGCGAGCGCAGCTTGTCTGCGCTCGATTTGTTGGACCAAGACGATATTTGGATTGGAAAAGCAAGATCCTCTCATTCCTGGGGATGAGACACTATGCACATGTTGGAGCTGTCAACAAGAAGATGAACACGCTCTACAAGGAGTATTGTGACACGGTAAAAAACCCACCAAAATTGATTATCCGTCCAATAATTACGTGTGTGGCAACCTCCACCACCACATTTTACATTCTCCAACGAGACCTGTGCCAAACACTGGTACTGTGACAATTCCAGAAGCAAAACGCCAACAAATGATCATGTGTGCGAAGAAATTGCAAGAACTGGCAGCCTTCCTGTTATGAAATGGGCTCGAGAGAAAGGATTTCCATGGGATGCACATGTTTGCAGGGCAGCAGCTCAAAAGGGACATTTGGAACTTCTCAAGTGGGCTCGTCAGAATGGATGTCCGTGGGATAAAGAGACATGCGAATATGCTGCTGCACATGGCCACTTGGATATCCTAAAGTGGGCCCATGAGAATGGATGCCCCTGGTTGGAGTGGGCAATGTGCCCATGTGCTGCCAAAGGTGGCAATGTGGAACTTCTCCAATGGGTACGGGAAAAGGGCTGCTATACATGCACTGCTGCTGCTTAAAAAGCCATTTGGGAATCCTAAAATGGGCTCATGAAACGGCTGTCCTGGCGTAAAGACGCGTGCGCTGCTGCCGCTAAACAAGGCCATTTGGAAATCCTGAAGTATCTCCATGAGAATGGATGTCCTTGGGATGAAGAGACTTGTCAAGATGCAGCTGAGGGCGGACATTGGAAGTGCTCAAGTGGCTCAAAGAAATGGATGCCCATGGGACTCAATGACATACAGGAGCTGCTGAACATGGTATTGAAATCCTAAAAGTATGCCCCTAGAATGGATGCCATGTGATGAAGACACATGCCCCTTTGCTGCTCTTGGTGGACATTTCGAAGTTCTCAAGTGGGCCAGAGAGATGGATGCCCATGGGGATTCATGACATGCACTGTTGCGCTGAAGCATGATTTGAAATCCTAATGCTCATGGACAGATGCCTTGGGATGAGAACATGTGCCTTTGCTGCTATTGTGGCATTTCGAGGTTCTCAAGTGGGCCAGAGAAATGGATGCCCTGGATGCAAACATGCACTTTTGCTGTGACAGGGTGAATTTGAAATCCTAAAATGGGCTCATGAAACGGATTGTCCTTGGGATGAAGAGACATTCGCGGCTGCTGATAACCGTTGGTATGAGGACATTTCCACACTGGGCTTTATGAATGGTTGCCCAAAACGAATGGCCAAATTTTGTAGTTCATGAACCCCCAAACCCAATGAACCACTTCAGAACGGTAGTTCGTGAACTTAAATTAAACCATTTCATGAAATTAACACATCTGTTGCCCAGCAGAATTTCTCCCCCAATCACCATTAGCCTACCATATTCCCATCCATCACGCATCCCCTCGTCTGATTACGTTCCCATGGCTTCCGTCATACCCACCTGGTCACCTGCTTCCGGGTCCAAGCATCAGGCCGTCATTCTAGACTATGAGCTCTAGACTCTGGTCTATATACAATCTATTAAATTTTATGGTTGCAGTGCGTATGTGGGAATGCGACAGACCTACACCACAGCAAGCCAAAAATCCTGATGGGAGAATCGAACGCCTTCCTTCCCTGGCCAGTGATACCGGTACTGCCGCCGAGCCGAAACGGAAAAGGCAGAAACTGGCCCATCCTGAAGATGAGATCTTGTTTCAATTGTTGTTGGGCCGAGAAGATGTTTGGGTTGGAAAGATCCTCCCATTCGTGGGGATGGGACACTATGCCTATGTTGGGGCTGTCAACAAGCAAGTAACTCAATCAGCTCTACAAGGAGTATTGCGACACAGTCAAAAACCCTCCATTAGTGCACATCTGGCATCATCCATTAGTTACCTGTGGAGCAACCCGTACCACCACATTCTACAGAATGGCATTCTTCGATGAGGCCTGTGCTGAACACTGGTACCAGGACAACTCCAGAAGCAAAACGCCAATACCTGATCATGTGTGTCAAGAAATTGCCCATATTGGAAGCTTACCTGTCATGAAATGGGCACGAGAGAAAGAATTTCCATGGGATGGAGATGTATGCAAGGCAGCAGCTAAAAATGGCCATCTGGAACTACTCAAGTGGACTCGTCAGAATGGATGCCCGTGGGATGGTCGTACATGCCATGCTGCAGCTAAAAATGGCCACTTGGATACCCTCAAGTGGGCTCATGAGAACGGATGCCCCTTGGAGCAGTGGTCAATGTGCTCCAGTGCTGCCAAAGGTGGTAATGTGGAAATTCTCAAATGGGTACGGGAAAAGGGGTGCCGGTGGAGTACCTATACGTGTTCTTCGGCTGCTTCTTGCGGCAAGCTAGAATGTCTCATGTGGGCAAGAGCACATGGATGCCCTTGGGGAATACACACATGTCACAAAGCTGCTGAACATGGCCATTTGGAAATCCTAAAGTGGGCTCATGAGAATGGATGCCCGTGGGATGAAGACACATGTCAACATGCAGCTGAAGGCGGACATTTGGAAGTTCTCAAGTGGCTCAGAGAGAATGGATGCCCATGGGCTTCAACAACATGCGAGGTTGCTGCTGAACATGGCCATTTGGAAATCCTAAAGTATGCCCATGAGAATGGATGCCCATGGGATGCAGTCACATGTTGCATGGCTGCTGTTGGTGGGCATGTGGAAGTTCTCAAGTGGGCCAGAGAGAATGGATGCCCATGGGACTCAAGGACGTGCACTGCTGCTGTTGAGCATGTAAATCCGGTATGCCTGAAATGGGCACATGAAAACGGCTGTACTTGGGATGAAGAGACATGCAATACTGCTGCTGAAAATGGGTATCTTGAGATTTTCAAGTGGCTTCATGAGAAGGGATGCCCATGGAACGCAGACACATGTGCTGTTGCTGCTAGACATGGGCATCTGGCAATCCTAAAATGGGCTCATGAAAATGGGTGTCCTTGGGATGAAGAGACATGTGCTGCTGCTGCTGCTGCTGACTGTGAGTATCATGACATTTTTAATTACGCTCGTGAGAATGGTTGCCCAGTGCCAAGATATCTCGAACGATGGGGTGAAATGGATGGGCGTTTTCTAGGACACTAGCTAGCTAGCAGCAATGACCAGTAGCTGCATTGTTTAAGCTGAAGCAGCGTTTTCATCCTCTACAAACGTTAGCCAGAGCCGACATCAGTAGCTCGTAGGCCAAGACTATAGACTACTAGTACTTGTTATAATAGGTTGAAAGCATTTTATAAACATGGCACATAAGAAATGGATTTCGTTTCCATTCTAATTCATCTGAACCGAATTTGCACCGATATTATCCTCAGGTAAGGGGCGGGCAGGCACAATTTCTGCAGCCGCACAGCGACGACGAGCAAGAAAAGGCAAAGACATCCAAGAAGCAAAGTCCAGAGGGGATTCGTCCTGCCACTGAGGTCTCATTTACAGTCAAAACACTCAGAGGCAAATCGACAATCGACTGCGGGATGCGGCCGTCTATTCGGTCGTTGTCGTGCAATCTCAAAACTTCCAGTTGTGATAGCATGCCAATCTGAGCAGGAATGCTGCCCCGGATATTGTTGCTGTTGAGATACAGGAATTTAAGTTGCGACAACTGACCGATAGTAGTGGGAATTGTCTCAACGAAACCATTGCGGGAAGCATCCAAAGTAGTCAGCCGCGTCAACGATCCCACCTCGGATGGCAACGGGCCCGTGAGTTGATTCCCCGATAAATCCAAGCGCGTTAGGTGCCCCAGATGACCAACGTTCAAGTCAACTCGGCCCACCAAGTTGTTATCTCCGATCTCCAGAGTTTGTAAACTGTTGCGAAGCGAGAGAGCCCAGAACGGCATTGGAATGGTTCCGCTGAATCCATTATGACTCAGATCCATGTGTTTCAGTGAATGCGGCCAATTGGCTGGAAGGTTTCCAACCAATGAGTTCTGAGGTACTGCGAAGGACTCGAGTTTGGGCAGCAGTGCCAACTCGGTTGGTAGACTGCTGCTCAGATTGTTCAACGCCAGGTCCACGGTTCGCAGTGATGAACACCGCCCGAGCTCCGAGGGAATCGAGCCAAGAATATTATGTTCGGGCAGCCGAAGTGTGTGAAGGCCAGTCAAAAGACCTAATTCAGTTGGCAAAGGTCCGCTCATGATTCCACTAGACCCTTGAATGGATGCTAGAGCAGACATCAAGGCAACTTCAGGTGGAAGGATGCCTTGCATGCCAGTTGGGGCTAGATACAGCCCCACGACGAGACGATCGTCTCCCTCGAAGGCTTCACATGAAGCGTAGCTCTTTCCAATACCCGCCCAGAAGCACTCATGAGTATCATAGGACAGCCATGCCGTTTCGTTGGCCGATGCCTCTATCCCATAGAGCGAGACGAACAAAGTAGCCATGGCAAAACGTTGACGCCTCTGGAATGGAGAGTAGACACGCACGTTGGGATCCGAAAAGAGCCAATTTAATGCATACGTTTGTGGGCTCTGTGGGTATTCAAGGCCAACCAGCGTGTAGTTTGGTAGGTTGTCCACAAAGGCTTCTCGAATACTGGAGATCGGTGCTGTTGGCACATTGGTCGGAGGTGCACTGGTGGGCATTTCGGATGGACTTGGAGAAGGTCGCATAGTTGGCTGTGTAGTAGGTTGTTCGGTGGGCCTTGTTGTGATCCTGGCGGTAGGACTGTTGGTTGAACACTCGCAATCACATCCGCACAATGAGTCTGGATCGCAGGTAAAGCTTAAAATGGAGATAACACACAGCGAATCGGGCAGAACTCCAGACAAGGGTGTGTCGTTGATGGTTAATTCCTTCAAGTTGGATAGTCTTCCCAGTGCCAAGTCACCCTCTGTGGAACCTTCGCTGGCATCCACAATCCGACCATCCAAGCCCAAAATGTCGTGCAGATAGAGATTTTGCAGTTGACTCAATTGCAACAGTTCAGTGGGGACGGTTCCCGAAAAACTGTTTCCGTTCAAGCCCAGCGATTCAAGATGGGCACTCATGAGACCAAGCTCACTGGGGATGAGTCCAGTCCAGGCACAATCTCCCACTTGTAGACTGGTCAGCTTGGCGAGGTTGGCCAAATGAGATGGAAGGACGGTCGAGTCGAAAGCGTTCCCCGACAGAACCAAGGCTTTCAAGCTGGTCCGAGCCCTGCCTGTGATGGGTGGAATGAATCCTGTCAAGCGATTGCCGGCCAGTCGCACATCTTGCAGCCCAACGGAGGTCTTTGTAGACTCTGGTTGCTTGGCACTCCGAGCTATGCTCGAAGGAAGGTCGGCGTCAGACACCAATTCGGAAGGTATTTCACCAGTCAATTTGTTTCCGCTCAGCTCGAGTACTTCAAGATAGACCAAGGAACCCAATTCACTCGGAATGGATCCTCCCGTAGCAGTGTTTCTCCACCAGAGCCCTTGCAGTGCTGACAATTGGCCCACCTGTGTTGGAAGCGTCCCTTCCAGCAGAGCATTGGATTGCAAATATAGAATTTTCAGGGAGCGGCAGTTACCAATCTCGCTGGGGATTGATTCGCTGATAAGAGTTTGAGAGATATCCAGATAGTTGAGATTGGTGAGCAAACCGACTTCAGAACTCAAAGTGCCCCCAATCTCGTTGCGGCCCAGCGCCACATGTTCCAAGGTTCTGGGAGCCATGATTCCGAAGACTTCATCAGGTACAGTGCCCTTCAAGCCAACGTTTTCCAAGTTCAACAGGGTGAATTGATAGTCGTCATTGCACACAAGATTTTCCGTGGGAAGCCACTCGCACTCATGAGTGTTGTAGGATAGCATGTCCGAAGAAGTCAGGATCCATTCGGAACCTTGTGTGGCAAAATAAAGGGAAGCTAGACAGAGACGTTGCCGGGCTCTTGCTTGACTGTACGTGTAGGTGTCCCACCATGGATCATCGATAAGCCACTCCACTGCCATTGCTTGTGGAGACTGAGGGTCTTGTTCAATCAGTGCAGTGGTTTGTGGTGGCAATTCCAGAATTTTCATGATGGATTTGGTTCGTTTTGCCTCCTCCTGATTGGTATCTACTACAACGGTATGGACAGGTTCATTGTTTTCCTTGACAACTTGAATGGTCAGCAAGATAATGGCAATAATGACGCCAACAAAGCCACTTTGGAACATGATGCAACCAAAGCGACGATCCTGTGCCCTCCGTTTGTTGACAGCGACTGTATCATAGGAGGCATCATCGTCAATATCATCTTCCTCGTCGTCATCTTCATCCTTGCTGGAGACCATAACTCCATCTTCCTCGTCATTGTTCTTTGGTCTGGTGTTTTTCTTCACTGGAGTACTGTCTTGTGGTGGGAACCCTGTGTTGATGTTGCTAGGTCTTTTGCTGCTAAGGTGTTTGCCCGTCTCGGAACCATTGGTGGACATATCCGTTCCATAGTAGATCTCTGTAGCCGACAGATCTGTGATGGACCCATTGTTGCGACTCGGATGATGCGACTCGGAAGAGCCTGAAACACCAATTGACCTTTGAGTAGAATGTGTGTTGGTGGATCTCACGCTAGTAGCCAATGCCAGTTCTTCATCCTCTTCTTGCTTTTCCTCCTCGTGCTTTTCTTCGTTGGATAGCACGGAAAGAGGAGGTGCAGGAGGAGATGGAGGCACTTGCTCTGATACCGATAGAGGCGGGGTATCGTCCGTAGCGGTGGGGGAAATCATAGGTTCAGCCATCTTTCCGATAAAAAATCCTCACTATTTTCAATGTGTTTTCTCTCTCAACAAGTTACTCTTATCCACGTTAACAAGGTGGACTGGAACAAAATCAGTATGTGGGTCCCAATCAAGGACAGTGTTTGCTTTCCTGTCCTCTTTCTCTCGCTTGGTTGGTGCAATACAGTCAAGTCAAGCCTTCAACAGTCAGTTCGCAACAGATCAATTTCTGGCTTCTGCATCATCTTTCTCAAAAATGGCGGGATGCCGGTTCTAAGTATCTAACGGCAAGACGCATGTTCATGAATTCAAAACAGAAAAATTAACTAAAAGCAGTTCCGGCATAATTGCTGCATGCGTCGAACGCGGAGTGAGGTGTTGAGCTGTCACCAAAAAATTTGGCCGTTACTTTTGCCTCCTGGGATACTGGTACCCGGTACCCGGTACCGGTACATGCACCCTCATGAGGCGAGGGAGCGTTCAGGTTGATACTCGTTATCCTTCCTTTTATTGCTTGTTCTACCCACTAGTAGACTAATCAGATTAGATGATCTCCCCAATACTCCCACGTTTGCCCCACAGTCTTTTTCGCCACGGACAACTCTAGCCAGTTTTAACACAATGTATCCTCCGCTCTGACAGTCAGCAAAGAAAGAGGGTGCAATGGTAGACTTGGCTGGTCTCCAGCCAACCCAGCCACGGGACCTAGGAATCCAATCATTGGTTCATAATAGTTTACACTACATTGCTCTTAGCGTGTACAGTATGTACGGAAATCATGTCCTGGCTGATGCAAGAGGTAGGGATTTCGTACATGTATCCTCGGTTCGTACCGGTAAGGTTGTTTCCAACCTGCCAGCCAACTACACTGGCTCTAGCATTGATAGTCCAAGAAATGGGCCGCGTTGTGTTGGTCACCGTGTTGGTCCAGAGGTGGATCTAAGAGTGGGGATTGGGGGTTGACTAGGGTACATCCTGGTGTGGGACCCACCAGAGTCTGTTTCTCCTTGGCTGGGTGCTAGCTAGTAGGCCTTGGTGTTGGTTCAGCCAGGAATTGGCTAGAGTCCTGGTATGGTGGGCTCGGGCCAGGAGTGCCTTGGGAGTGACTTGCTTACTTCAAGAGGTGGTCCAGGTGTGGATGAAGGTTTTCGAGGCGTGATTCGATTGACATTCAGGGCTGGTCCTGGAGTACTATGCATCAGAATTGTTGCGGGAGTTTAACCTGGTGCCTCTTGCTTGCAATGAACCCGGTGTTGGGACTGGGTTGAGGATTCCGGTGTGGAACCAGGAGTGAAGAAGGTGTGGGCGTCTAGCTAGCTAGATTGGCGAGTTTATTTGGATAAGTTTTGCTAAGGTCCAGGAGTAGGCTCCGTCTCAGGCTATCTAGCTAGTACGCTGTAGCTCGATAACAGTAAAGAAGCAAAGCAACATCTCCAAGCTCAGCCAGCCATTTGCCTCGTGATGTGCGTATTAGTAAGCTGATACTGGTACAACCGCTCTTGTTTCCGCCCACTCTTTCCGATAAGCCACTGACTTGTTGCTTTGTCAACTTGTCAACCGCCGCATCTAGTTTCTAGCTAGATCAGACCACTGTTTATTACATGGAGATTGCCAACCAGCCATTGACCCAGGCTTGCTAGCTGGTGGTATTCCTCCCCTTGGCTGGCGGTACCAGTGTCCCGTACCGTACCCCGTACCAGTGGGACCATGTCGAGCCATTGTTCCCACGGGTTCTTTACTAGCTAGACGGTACTGTAGGCACTGCACGACAAAATGGTAGTTTTCGCATACTAGTACGACTGTGTAGTCGCTTGAGAGAGCGACTCTCCATGCCGGACTCTATGGCTCACAGGATGCAACGCAGCCAGCAATCCGGGACGGCCCGCTCGCTATTTTTTTCGCAACGATTATGGCTCGAACACAAACGGCTAGCTAAGCATGATAGTAACTCGTTCAAACCATCTCCCTCCGACACAGCAAGGGCAGGGTCAGCACCGCAAGAGTATGTAGATGCTGACCCTGCCCAAGCTGTGTCGGGATAACATTATTTGGTGGAGCTATTTGACATCTTAGCATGGGGTTTTTGGAGAACCTTCTCGGAGGAACTCGAACTCTAAACCATCGAGTAAATGTGCTATTTTCTACAAAGACTTAGAGGATGTCATAGCATGACATCATGAGGCGAAAACAATCACATTTTCTAAAGTATCGAAACACATCGGAAGACAGTGCCAACGGTTGGCTCTTTGCATGTTTGTTCCTGTTGAACGACTTGATTTCGCTGGAGGTAGCTATCAGGATGTAGTTGTATTACATGTAAAGCAAAGCAGAGGCAATGATGGACTCGCAGAACAGTAGCGCCGCCGCTACTAGACGCAGTTCAAGGAAGCGCCATGGGGAGGACATTCCCATTGTGAAGTGCAACCCACCCAAATCAATCCGTCGGATCAACTACTGCACAGAGTGGCCATTGGAGCGGAATCTCTATTGCAGTGGCTGCGCATTCTATGAAGACTCACGAGACTGTTTCAAGAAGGGACTTCGAAGTGAAACTCACAAAGGAGACAAGTTTCAGTGCAAGAAGCCATGGATGTACAAGCCAGATGATGAGTATGTCGCTGCCAAATTCAACATGGGCGCAGACTGGATAAGAGATGTCAATGAGTACCTCCACGCTCGCTTTCACATGACCGCCATTCACCATCAGCAGAGCACTCCACATTCATCATCTCATGCAACTACCAAGACAGCAGTTGTTGACTTGGTCGCTGTAGGAAATGAGACTACGCCGCTAAGTGTTGAGGATGAAATGGATAATGGTGGCAGTGCAGAATTGGATGGTCGAAAAAGGAAGAAAGAAAAAGAAGAAATTCAAGTTGGCGAGGTCACAGTCAACAGCCAAGGAAGCTCCTTCGCGATCCTGGAAGTCCCTCATACCCACACAGTCATCCCAAAGTGTCACCTCGAACGCTTGCGAAACACAGAACAGCAAGTGAAACAATTACAGAGAGGTTTCTCTGGACAGATCTTTCTTGGCGGATCGCGATACATGAAGGCTCTTATTGTGGTCGCTCTTTCCAGCTGTCCTGCCTTGCCACTGTCACAGGCCGCTACAATTATTCCACTTATTGTGGCAGCGTTCCTTGTTGATCTGGGGCTATTAGAGAAGACAAATGTTGAGACTTTCTCGCAATCCTTCCCTTCTGAAACTTGGCTTAGAGATTTGATGTACACATCGGCTGCAGAAGACATTCACTTGCTGTCTAAACGTCTTGAAGGCAAGACAGTGTTCCTCTCATGCGATAAAGGAAACAAGAAGAACGTTGGTCACTTCGTGAAGATCCTGTCTTGGTATGACATGGATAGCAAAACTGTGGTGAAACAGTTGTTGGATATAGATGCGAGCGAAGGAAGTTCCCTCCAGTGTGCCGATGCAGTAGAGGCTTCCCTTGCAAAGGTTGGTGTCACCAAGTTGAAGGGGCAAACAACAGATAGTGGAGGTGGTGGTGTCTTAGACGGATTGAGCGATGCTCTGACAACCAAAGGTCTGTGTCATCAACCATACTGGTCAGCGTCCTGTTCCATTCATAACTTGCAGTTGTGTTTGGCGAATCCTATCAAGAAGTATATAGGGGAAGGCGGACTGGAAAAGAAGAACGTCATGCAGATGATACATTCTGTACACGATCTACAAGACAGTATGGACATGGACGTTTGGAGAGCTCTTGTGTCAGACGCAGTGGACTTTATGGATGAGTACTTGGACGTTCCTTATGTCGGCAATGGATCACAAGGGGATCTACAGTTCTCTACCAAGTGGGAACTAGTCAAGACATTTCAGGCCTTCAGCGAGTTCGATGCCGAAACGATCAAGCTGGTCAAAAAAAAGATACAAGCACCAGTACTGACACGATGGTGGTCTGTTGGCGAAACATCTCGCATCACCCTTCTGATCTACTTGTTCCTTGTGCGCTTGTCTCAATCCATCATCAACAGCTGCAGCGACAAGTCCAACAAGATTGCCTCAGGGCTGCAGCCACTTCTTGCTGAACCACAACTGTACTCTGACTTGACACTTGTGGTTGCATTCCATACAGCATTCTTTTGCCCAAACTTGGATTGGATCCAATCATGCAAGGATCTTTCTAAAGTGCATGGTTTCCAGTCGCACAATGTGGCAGTTCGATACTTCCTCATGCAACAAGAGTTACAAGTGATTGCCACAACAGTACTCACCACAGAACCATCCTTTGCATTGTTTCGCTCTTCCTTGGAGAACTTGTCAGTTGCTGACCGACTGGAACAGGAAAAGAAAGTGGTCGAGTTTATCCAGTGCTCTCTTTTCTTTCTGCACAAGCATTTTAAGAGGACATTCAACTCCTTGCTCTTACCAGCGGCGCTACTGGCAGAGGAACCTGTCGCGGACATTGTGGCTCATGTCATGCTTGGACGTCCTGTTGTGACATTCCCTCCACCATTCCAGTCTGCTGTCCACAAGAAGACAATCGATCTGCAAGCTTTCCACTCCTTTGTCACCACCGAATTGTCCAAGCAGAACGTCTCACCTACATACCATCCACTAGCAGTACATGCGGCTGAGCTAAGACTGTCCGGGTTGAACTACAGAGATACAGGAAACATGCAGAATGCATTCAAACAATACTTGCTAACGTCTTATCTACCTCTTGCCTCGCATACCCAGTTTGTTGAAGTGGGTGTCAAAGAAGCGAAGCTGGTCTCCAACACTGATCGTGCAGAACAACTGAGAAGTGCTTATGCCATCGTGCGATCTGCTAGGATCCATCCAATTGGAATTATCCGTGACATGAAAGCCAATCCGAAGATACGTGCTTTGCTCAACAGTGCCAAAGGGCATTATGCAACCATCAAGCCGGAAGCTCTCACCGAACACTTCAAGAACAACATGCAGCGGTTGGAGCTTTGCATGAGACAAGAACACTTCCAGAAGGCAAGGAAGAAAGCATTGAAGGAAAATGTCTTGCTCACGGCCGGAACAAACAAGAAAGAGAACCAGCGGCAGAAGGCTGCCGGTGTCCACAAGACCATGGCCGTCCAAGGACGTATTCCGTATGGGAAAACAAGAAAGGATCGCCACCATCAGGACTTCCTCACAGAGCTGGTATTCAGACTTGGAGAACACAGGATGGAGGAATGCAAAGCTCTGAACTTCAGAGACAGGAGGAACAAACTCAAGGAGGTGGAGCTCAGCAGAGTGAAGGAACAAGTGGAGAATTGGGCTGAGCGAGACAAACTGGCACAACTCGAAGCTGCATCAAAAGGCTTTGAGAAACTGTCTTCTGCTCCCTTTAACAGCTTGGCGGATTAAGAGGTCCTTCTGTTGCTACCAAAAGGAACTTTCCATCCAATCTCTTATGGTAAGCAGCCAAGGTGTCAACCACAACAGCAGAATATACTCTTTTTTGGTGAGCGACAACATCCTCATTCTGCTCCTTCAACTGCTTTGTTCTCTTCATTTCACTGCTAACACCTTGAATGTTTTTCAGGGCGATTGATCCTAAGTGGGTATAGAAGGAATACCCAGGTCCACAGCACCTCTGGGGTAACATGATAATAGACTTCTGTTGCCATCTTGACTGTCATGGCATGGTTGATGCTTTATTTCGAAGTGTGTTGAGTGGTTGCCGTGTTGCCGTTGTTTCTTTTTCGGCGAGAGAACAGTGACGTCATGTGTACCAGGCCTACACGGGGAGCGCGTAACGGATTTCTGAGTACCAGAAAATTGCTGATCCTACGGTGACCCGTGAGCCATAGACTCGACTCTATCCCGAGCTGCACCGAGGTGAAAAGGATTCCGATAGCGAGGCATGTCGGTACTGGCAACCCGCTACTAGAGCTGGCAGTCAGTGCGAGGACTGAGGACTCCTTGGTTGTTTGCCCACCGCCCCGTACCGGTATCTGCATCGGTAGTACCGTACCGGTACCGTAGAAGCTGCCTAGCTAGCCAGCCAGGTGATGGAATAGTATCTTGAGCCCTGCGATGGCTAACCATGGCTGGTTTTGGGTGCAGGGAATACCAGCCTCTGGTCGCCGTTTGTTTGTAGTCCCTGATATGTGGCTAGATATCCACATGTAATACCTAAGGAAGTTTGATTTGCTGGCTGGGCACTGGTAGTTTTGATTCTTCGTAGAGAAGAATCCGCAGTCTAGTTTGTGTTGGTCTATGGTAGGTATCTACTCAGTAAAAGCTAGTAGTTTTGATTTGTAGAGGAGTATCTGTAGTTCTAGTTTTAGTTTTAGCAGTTATAGGATAGGATACCTGATGATGCTTTTGCTTGCTGTCCCCATCCCTGTGGTTGTTTGGTTTTGTATTTACAGAGTCTTGCATCGTTGGATTCCCTTTTGTTGCTGAGGAGCTCCCAACTTTCTGAAGAATCCCGAGACGCATCGCTTGATGGTCTTTTTGCTGCCGCGGCGACGAGATCTTCTGGAGGCAGAAAAAGCAGAAGCGGAGCTGCTCTCCGAGACGGATGTCTCTGTCACAGAGACGTCCAGTTCCTCTTCTTCATCCATGACCATGGCGGCGTCTTGTGCATCGCGGGCGGCCATCTTTTGAGCGGCCTTGCGGTTGTCCTTGGATTGTGCGCGAGACACGACAAAGAGCTCGTAGTCGTCCATGCCGATCAATCCACTTTCCTTTTGTTCCTTTTGGACTTCCAAGACGCCCTTGACGTGCTTGCTGATGCGTCGTCGTCGTTCGCGCTTGTTCAAGACATGTTCCAAACCGCGAAAGGTCATGCTGTGATCGTTGGCATCCAACTCCAAGCCGGCATCTACGAAATTGCGCTTGGCTTGAATGTCGGTTTGCTTTTGGAATGCCAGTTCCTCGGCGCTGTAGTACAAGTGCTCGCGTTGCAAGTCGGTGGGCAAGGGCTCCAAGAAACACTTTTGAACTGCGCCAAAGCGGACTGTCTTTTTCAGTTCGAGTGCGACTGCTGTCTCGCACATGGTTGTGGTGGTGGTGTTGACGGGGGTTTGAAGGTGGCACATGGTTTGTGTTAAGTGTGTTTTGTGTTGTTGTTTTGTGTGGTTGATTTAAGCGCTGGTGAGCAGATTTTATGAAAGGAAGCATGAACTCTTTCTGAGTTTGGCTTGGAGTGGACAAACCGACTGATGAGCTCTGATGATGAGATTCTTTTCTGGCTAGAATGTTGCGTGACTGTAGAATTAAACAGTACTCGGCGGCTGTTTTCGATAGTTCATGCAGCTCTTGCTTGGTGCGTACTCGCTCCTTTTCACTTGGCTAATAGCTGGCTGGATACGGGAGCCAGGAACTGCGCAGGTGATTAGATTTTGTTACCAACCACTCGGGGAAGTCAATCATTCATCCTTGCTACTGTAAAATCAGTACCAAGCTTTACAGGCAGCAAATCACCTGTTAGTGTGATCGTGGAGAGTCGGATCAGCTCGAGACCTGGATTAGTGATGGTAAGCCGCCAAAAGAGCCATGAGTTTGACTATCGACTAGATAGTACTGTTGCGGTCATTTATTTTGTCATTGGCATAATGCCAAACTGCAGGCAGAGTTCAACCATCGAGCATTATTTCAAGGGCGCATCAAGCAACAAGGGCGCATCAAGGATATCATGATCAATCGGGCATACCGGTATTCGGCGGCTTGGTCTCTGCGAAGCCGTGAACCCGTCACGGCTCGGAGGCTCGGAGCTATTCCCGCAGCCCAACGGCGAAGTAAAGCCTTGATTCAATCATTCAGCTGAGATGTCCAGGAGTCGGTAAATCAATTTTACGACATGATGGGCCTAAGAGTGCTTCCCCTTTCTGCTCCTAAGATTGACTTCAATGTGAAGTACGAGTACAGAATGTGCTGCAATCTTCTCCAGTCGTTCTATGCGAGTGGATACAGATTGAGTGGAAATTCAATCACCACTGGAGATTGGCTCTTATAAAATGCACTTAGCCTCAAGTATATTTCAATTAACTGGATATTATTGAGTATAAACCATGTTAAAAAATACACAAATAACTACTCAAAAATTCAAGCCATAGCCAAAACTCCGAGTAAGAGCTTGTTGAGTCGAGGGTCTGCCGGGGAGAAAGGTGGACAAGTTCATCGTAAAGGACGACATAAAAGGAGTGATTCTGGAGAATGACCTTCATATTCGCTGAGTCTGCGCTTAGATCTTTCTTGAAGTAGGTTGTGCCTTGCTGTAACATCTAAATTGTCTGATTGATATCATGGACATTCCTTTGGGATTAGACATCAACTCGACAGACGAGCTACAGACGAGAGTCGATGAGGCGATGCGATGACTCGGCGATGAGGAGATGAGGAGCCTTGACTCACTTACTCCTCCAGGTGTACCTGGTACCGAGCACTTACTTGTACTCAAGTCAAGTGCGTACCGGTAGGATAGGAACTGCGGGCCTTGACCAATTAGACAACCATCAATTTTTGGTGATGCCGTTCTTGACTGAGTCACTCAGAGCTCAAAGCTCAAAGCACCAACGACAAGAGTGCTCGCATCTCGCAGCACTGGCATTGCTCCTGGACTCGATCCGTCATCGAAAACAATACTCGAATACTACCAGCTCCACCGGTAAACACATGGCTGCGCTGCTGCCTGCTGGTACGACACCCAACCTGTACGACACCCTACCGGTACAGTCGCACCACACCCTAAACCCATCGAGCACTTTGCAGTCTTCTTTTCTCGCTGGGACCACGAGAACAGTAAAAACAGGTGGGAAGTGGGTATTTATGTTGGAGGCGCATTCACAGATTGACTCATTTTGGATCTGGCTATGATACAAGTCGCTGCAGCATAGTTGTTGGCGTTCGGGTAGTCCCAGTGGGCATGGGATCCCGGACATGACCTGTCGAAAGTACATGTAAGTGTCCAGGAGCCCTTGGTATCAAAGTGTGACAGACGAGGATCCGAGCTGGAGTTCCTGTGGTGTTCATGGTCCCACAAAGTAAAATCAGAAGTTGGCGAGGGTGCTAGCTACTAGCCAAGAGTGACTACCAAGGCAGAAGGCAGGTGGCAACCTGTTTATTTGGTCTGAGGTCATGGACATCGTCATGGTCAGCGGGCGACGATCTTGGTTGGATGCTGAGCTGAACACTTGCTCAGAGTGTCGATTTGATTGTTGCCTGGGCTGGGTTCAGTACTGGCCGGCTAGCAGTCTTGTAGCGTGGTCACGATAGGTTGCAAGGTTTGGTCGACTATCGTGGCACTGACATGGGGGTGGGGTCGTGTGAACCCAGGCTGAAGCCCAGAGGATGACGGGAGCAGGTTGTCGCAGGTCGAGTTCATCAGCAACCCGGTGGTGAGCACAGGTTGTATTTCAGGAGGCATGGGAGGGAGGCATTGAAACTGTGCGGAAGAAGTGACCTCGGGGAGCTGACTGATTGTCGAAATGCAAACAGCCAGTCAGCAACAGGTTGCATTTCACGAGCGAGGCGTGGGAGGGGAGCATTGTGACTTACGTGGCCTCGAGGATCTGAATGATTGTCAATGCAAGCAGCCGGTTGGAGACCCCAAGCGTGCTTGTCGACATTTTCGGCCATTCAGTTGAGCCGTATTGATCCGTCTTTTGATTGCATGTTGCAGCATGCAAGCATACATACTCTGCAACCCGAAACAACGGTATACTGGGAGATCGAGGTTCACACCAGTGGAATCCCACATAAGCCTACGTGCTGCTCAGTGCGTTTCCTGATTGTCGTGTGGTTGGTGCAGAGTTGAGTCCTTTTGGAAAAACGACACCACTGCGATCGTATACGGCGCCACGACCACGTGAAACAGTTTCTTTGCGCCCGTCGTTTCTTCTTCTTCGGGGTGGATCCAAGTCGATTGATACTTTCCCAACCGCTCGCCGTGTTGAGTTCCGTCCCATGTCCATCCCGCAAATGAAATGCCATTCTTTGCCGTCACGGCGCCACTGTTTGATTTCAACACTACCACTTCGGCTTGTTGTTGGTACGAAGAAGCAGGTGCAAGCAACTGTATCCGGTGTGGTTTGGATAGTTTGTTGATGATGACCACTTTGGTGGTGTTTTTGTCTTGTACTGCCCACGCCTTGGCGTGGATTCCGCTGCTACTCTTGTGAGCTGGTGTACATGGCTCTTCTTGTCGACAGGATGACAGGGGGTGCACACGGGTGTCGTTCCCCGCAACGACCCAGTTCCAAAGATACATGCCATAAAACAAGGGCCGCACATGGGGTGGTTCTTCTTGGTGTTGTTTCGTGACATTGACGGCAAACCACGAGTAGGCTCCTCGCCCACCCCCGTGAAAGTTGACGCGTGTCACGTTGCCGGTCGCTGCCATGGCAAACAAGTAGTCCACACACCAAAGTGTCGATGCCAGGGCATCCGACACACCCAACACACCACCATCATTGGCACTGTTGACTTCTCCCATGTGAAATGAAATATTCATGGAAGATGCCCCGGCAGCCCAGGAGGATACTCGATCTGCTTCTCCATTGCTGGCGGTATTGTCCAATAATTGCAACAGGCATAGTGTGACATTGGTAGTATCGTTGGCGGGACGGCAGTGACGGGTAGAGACGGGGTAGTGGTGATAGGACCAACTGTATAGGTATTGTTGGAACTGTTTCATGAGGTCCACTTGATGATCCAAGAATTGCTTGTTGCAACAAAAGGTTCCTCCTCGAATCATCTTTTGGTTGGGAAATGGCAGAGTCTGTTGGATTGTTTCTATATACTGCTGAAACTCATTTGCAAAGTCAGTGGGTGTGTATTGTTGCGGTCGAATGCCATGGTGGCCATAGATATCTTGTTCGTTGCCAATTTCAATGCCTTCCAGTAAATGAGTGGCATTGTGCTCTTCCAGTGTAGTCCAGATTCCTTCCCATTCTTGTCGTGCCCAATTAGTATTATTTGTATGATTGTCGTTGCTGGCTGGTGGAATCATGGACAAGTCCAGAATCAAAGTGGTACCACCAATGCGTCGTGCCATCTCTGCCAGATGAACAATCAAGTGGGACGTAATTTTGGTCTCCACGCATCGTGCTCCCGGTGGATAGTAGCGACAGCGATTCTTTTGTTCTTTGTCGTCGTCATTATTCCACCACGAGCGATCGGCCGAATTGCCACCCACGCGGATATTCAGCCTCCTAGATGATGATGGACGCACGACGAGATACTGCAACAGGCGGTGAATGGCGGGAGTAGTCGCAAAGGTTTCGGCTCGATTCCACTCCACAGATATCCCCACAAAGTCGGGTGGAATGAGAATGTCATCATGATGATGCGTAGTACAGTCGAATGACGGTAGCTCGAATATGTCGATTGCTGGATGATGAAACAACCTCACACTGGAATTTGTGGGCACGACAAGCAGCACAATGGCCGTGAAGAAAATACAAAGCAGGAAACCCATGGACTCGCTAAAGGAGCAGATATACAGAATAGTCCGGTGGCACCTCCACTGGCGTGCGCGTCCAATCGCGCTTCCTTCCACCCCTTTGTTGTTTCAGTGGATGGCATGCTTGCCCCTCAAGCCAAGACTCTCTTACAACGCCTTGCTCCTGCTACTGCCTCCAAAACTCAATTTTCCTACTCTCAAATGATGTTCTTCATGCAGACCCGTATCTCAATTGCCCTTGTGAAAGCTACCCATTTATGTCTCCGTGGATCCCGCAAAGCCAAACCCTTTGCCCCCCGTAATGGTCCTCAATTTCTTGCCCCTGATCCCACAGAACCTAGTCCTGAATTTCGACTGTTCTTTGCTTAAGCCTGGCCCCGGCTGGCTTCCGTAGATAATTTCCCTACTCTCAAACCCCCCTTATACCTGGTGCTTGCTTGGATTGAAAGATCCAAAGATCAAAGTACTTTTTTGCAATAATATTGTTATTCAGCTAGTTATTACTACCAGTAGGTGCTCGTAGCTACTAGTAGCTAGGTTTTCGTTGAGGTCCTTGCATTCCACGAGCGGCAACAACCCAGGGACTAGCTAGTCTACATATGTACAAGAGGCAACCATTGGCCCACTGAAGTGGAACTCCCAATGTCGATGTTTAGACCAGGGTCCTCTGGGAAATTAACCTGGGCTCATAATACTGTACCAGTAGGGGATGCCCCGAAGACTGATCCGGTAGACACCATACCGGTAGCTGCCTCAACTTATCTACATGTATGTAGACAACCAGTAGCCTGCCAAAGACGAGTGAGTTTTTTACTTGTGAAGGGCAAACCTATCTAGCAAGCTTTCGATGGGGAAATTGCTGCTGGTACAGTTCTTGTCGTCAACAGGTGCAATCAAGAGCCATAATAATACGCCGAGCAAAACCGTGATCAAAAACCGTGATCATTTATAACTTTCCCCATTGTCTACTAGTATTACTGCTTAACTATAGTATATCTTTTGTTGTGAATGATTGGAATCATTCCAATCGTAACTTTCATCATCATGACCATCATGTCAGTGTTGTCGTTTCATCGGTTGGTTCTTCGTATTCCTCTTCTTCGGGACGCGGACCCAATGCCGGTTCGATATTGTGGGTCCCAAAATCATTGGGATCGTACTCTTCAAATCGTTGCGACTGTCCAATATCGTATTCTTCGGAATAACTGGTGGGACTTCCCGACCCCGAAGTGTCACTGGTTCCATTGTAATGCAACATGGGATCGGATGCGTACAGTTTGGCCGTGGCGGGATGCACGTGGAATTTGACATGGTCCGATTGTTCCAACAAGTCTTCAAAATCCGGTGGATCCATCAGGGCAGCCTTGTGGGTACTGCTAAATGCGGGTGTGGAATTCCGGCGCCCTGCCAACATCATTTGTGTCATGGGGTTCTTCAACATGGAACTGCCATCCGCATCCATCATGTTTTCATCGACGGCCTTGTTTTTATCGACCATATGACCCCTCAAATTGTGAGTGCGATATTTCCACAATAGATACCCCACAACGCACAAGGTGACTGTCAAGATGGGAAGTACAATTGCGGCTGGATTGATTCCGGGTCCCTCTGTTGTCACCAACACCCCATTATTGTTACTATTCATAGAAGTACTACCGTCCATGGCCGATGCAAAAGTGGTCCCATCCAAAAAGTACGACAACGCATCTGGTTCCGACCCCCCGGCAATGTACTGACAGTGATCTCCACTGTATTCGGGAGGACACTCGCACCCGGGATGCTGTGCCGAGACTCCCACCTTGTTGCGACACACTCCGTCATTGACGCAAAACAAAGTTTCAGAAATTTCACCCGTGCTGGTGCAGTACTGAGTGGCCACATGTTGACACGAGAGACCGGCATAGACGCGTCCCGTTTGGAGGTAGGCTTCGTGACAGTCGCACACGTACTTGTGTTCTTCCAGCAGCGATTCCACACAAGTGGCATCATTGTCGCATGCATGTCCATCGGCGCAAATGTTGGTGTATCCTTCGGGCCGACTGTTCCCGGATGCTGCCATTGTCACTGTCGTTGTTTTGCTCTTCTCGTCCTTGCCCGCCATGGTTATCTAGTTAGCTGCCAGCAATGCAATGCAATACAATAGAAACAAGCTAAACAAGAATAGATTGGAATGAAGCAAGTTTTGGGTTTTCTCGTTGTTGGTGGAATTGAATTTGAAGACGCCGCAAGTGTCGGTTGGTGTTGCATGTGAGAGGCTGCCTGCTTGTCATCGGACACCAAACGCAGGATTCCCACGTAGGACTCCGTACAAGACTCCCTAACAAAGTGTCGCCAGATTTCCTTTCGAATTTTGACTCTTGAAAGGCGCCCTTCATTGGAGGTCAATTAGAGCTAAATAAATCAAACGAGTGAGGCTTTCAAAAAATCTGACTCAAGACCAAGTAGAAGGTAGCACAGTTGAACCAATCGAGCGAACTGTGACTGAACAGGTGACTGACGGCCACACTCTTTGCAGCTCTCTTTGCCGACTGTCACTCAATCATATTACATGTACAAACTTCAATGGAGCTTCTGCTCTCCCAGCTTCGGGCTCACAAGTGGTCCAAGCCCTACTAGTACTCTGTGGTTTGCTCTTTTGTTTCTGCTCGCTTGATCATTGCCCTCGCTCGAGCAGCCAGGATGTGCCTGAGAGACAGTTGTGTTCCAGCTATCAAGCTCTCCAAGCCTTGGGATGATGGATGCTCTTGATCTCTTCCACTAGCTAGCTAGTTTTACTCCTTTGATTATCCCCGCCCTGCTCCTTGACACCCTCTCCTTCCTTGGTTTTGATGTTGCTCTGCTCGGTTGTTCGACTCGCGTTCTTGCATCCTGCCCTCCTTCTCTGCAACCCATCCTCACCATCGTCCCCTCTACGGTAACCCATAGTATCTTTCCCGTTTATTGTAGCACGTGTGCTAGCGAGCTAGTAGAGTAAGTATCATACTGTTTCTTTGGCAATGAGCTCATCCAGTCTGTGTGCATTGGGTTTCCATCTTGCAACGATCCCCTGTTTCCATTTGGATTTAGTTTCTTTTCTCAGCATCCAATAACCATGCCAAGTCCTTGTCCCAACAAAGTTGCAATGATGGATGGATGGTTGCCCATGTCAGCGCCACACAGTGTGGAAGTTCACAAGCATTACACAACACATTCTATCTCAGTTCTGTGTAGCTAGTGTGAGATGCTGCCAAACTTACTTCATGCTGCATGTACCGGTAGCTACTGAGATTGTATGTGCTGTCTTCTTCAGTTTATATGATTCACCAAGACTTGAAGTCCCAACATGCTCAGATTAATATTAATTTTTCATTGACAACCTGCCCGTAGACTTTCTGTCTCATCATCTAACCTATGCCAAGTCCTTGCCACAACAGCTAGCATTGAAGAATGGTTGCCCCTGTCTGTGCCACACAGTGTAGAAGTTCACAAACATTACACAACACAGTCAATCTCAGTTCTGTCTATTTTAGCTACTGCCGTAATGTGTGAGGCAGCCAAACTTACTTCATGCTGCGTGTAGCTTCTGGGAGACTACCACCTGTGCTGTCTTTTGCTTGAGCTATGCGCAGTCATGTGTAGACACCGTGGGTCCATCATAGCTACGATTATTCTTGCGCGCTCGAGTGAAACGAGGGTATTCTGGTTCGACGTGCCCAGCCGTAGCATCCAAGCTGCTCTGCTGCTGTACCGGTACGGTTTTATATCCAAGCAACGTATTAAAAAAGTGAAGTAGGTCTTAACTTTAACTCAGGTTGCAAGCAAATCTATCATTTCTCACAGATTGTGTTGCCACTCGCAATGGTGCCCAATCCTCGTCCAACCATGGACGAAAGATTCTGGTCTGACTGTGACATGGATCCTTGATTTATTTGTTGCCCGTTCCGCCTCTGAAGGCGTGGTATCAGCACGCACACAGGCTGATGTTGGTTCGTTCGCACCCAAGATCGTCCCCCATCCCATTGTCAGACTTCGTCATGCGTCAGTCGAGCAACAGATCTACTTGACGTGGATTGTGCACGAGCTATCAAACAGGCACCAACATGCATGTACATGTATGCGGAGCGAAGTTGATTGGTTGGCTGGCTGGAGCGATAGCACCAAGTTGCACTGCGCTCTTTGTGACACTGCTGTTGGACTCGACCCGTCGAATCTCGAACTGATGCGCGAAACTTGTCGTCAGGAAACCCATCATTTCTGGATGAACCAAACTGACTCACTCTTCCATACCTAACTCACTATCGGCAGGTTGCGTGTTTCACCCAGAGTGCTGGTACTTCCCGAAGCAGACCGTAAAGAATACTCTGGCGGACCAATTCGTTTTTCAGCTCGGGATCTTCTTCATTGCTGACTGCCAGCAGGAAGAGGGCGACGAACTCGCGTGGTTTCATGTCGCTCTGATGAATCATCGCCCTACCAAAGCGGTTCATTCGTACCAAGTGTTCCACATTCCCACGGATAAATCTCAAATTCGTCAGGAATAGCTTTGCCAGTGTCTTGTTGTGATCCTGAAAGACGGCTTCCAATGCCAACTCTGCTGCTTCCCGTCGTTCTCCTATATTAGTATCATTATTTTGACGATGATTGTTGCTGTCGTTGTTGTTGTCGTTTCTTCTTATTATTCTTGTTGGATGACTGAAACATCCATCATACGCGAGGAATTCCAAATTCGTATTGGTCTTGAGTGCTTCCAAAAAGGGCTCACATTGGAGCTGCATTCTTCGGCCGCTGATGCGAAAACACGCGATATTCGGATTGTCCCCAATAATGTGAATCATGGCGTTGCAATGCCGTTCGTGGAGCACTCGTACATTTCGCACATTCAACGTGAGCCATTTCAATCGGATATTGGACAGATTGGCCAATCCCGTCAACAGCAGAACAAAGGCGTCGCTCAGGAACGGCTCAAAGCAACAATCAAACTCTTCGTGCACATGTGGCAACAAGTCTTCCAAGATAATGGAGGTTCGTTCTTCGTCAATCGTGGGTGGTTGGTCGTTGGCTGTTGGCCGTAGTGGTAATAATGAAGTGGGCCTTCGTCGTGGCAGACTAAAGATTTTGACGCATCTCACTCCTCCTCGTTCGGTCCATCTTTGAATGAGATACTCTAGAATCGGCACGGGACAATTAGGATTTTGCAAGGCCAGATTGAGACAGAGTTGTCCCATTCCTTTGGGCGATTCTTCTTTCAAACAATCCGGATATGCCTCGACGAGGGCTCGAATGTTGTGGAGTTGTGGCGTATCCGAGCGTAGATGCTTGTGTATGGGTAGTTCTTCACTGTGATTGGGAGGAAACAACGTCTGATGAAATCCTTCCACCAATCGGGGTGCCAAAGGACACTTGTCAATCAGATACTGCAGTACCCCGGGAGCAATTCCCTGTTGGCATTCTTGACACGCAAACTGCAAAAAGGAGGGTGATCGAATCTCTCCTTCCATGGTAGGCAGTGCTCGAGAGCTCGGAACTCCACCCACCATTAAATCCCCTACAGCTTTGACATGTTCCACTTGTACCAATGATGGTGGAGGGAATTTGAACAGGAGCAGCAGTGGAAATGCGCCCTTATCGTAAAGATCTTCCATGAGAATCTTTTCCATCGCGAGTGCCGGATGGGCGGTCAGTATTCGAACTACTTCCGTGGCATCTTGATTACCAAGAGCTTCGCGCAAATCCTGCCGATGCTTGGTGATATTATTACATGTAGTGCTATTGGCCGTGCCTTTGGCTTTCTTACTCGGGGGCTGCGTGTCGCTGTCAGAAGCACTCATGATGATGATGATGACTGTTGTGGAATGATGATGCCTGATGATGATGCCTGATGATGTGTGAAATGATGGCGAGGTTGGACAATAAAGACGTCGAGAACGAATGTGCTGTTGGCACAGGTATCATACTAGCTAGTACGGAACCCGAACATGTAGCGCAAGAAGGGCCTTTGCCGTTGTTTTTTGCGGTTACCGGAAGACAACTTTGGAAATGAGGTAGCTGCGGTAAATATATAAAACTGAGAAGCAAACATTAACTTTAACCCTAAACTTACCTTAACTACCCATCCAAAAATGTCTTCCAGGACATGGAAAGTCGAATCGCACACGGCGCGTCGATTGGTTTCTTTGCGGAACAGCTTCAAGACTTGATTGGGCTGCACCAGCAGGCAGTGCCAACGTGCGAACTACTATGCACAGGAGCAATGGGTCTGGATAGAGTTGAGAATGATAATAATTGCTTACAGGGGATGAGCAAACTTGTCCATGGCTCTGTGTTGAATTTGTTAGAGCGTTTTTGTAAAAATTGTGGGCGCAAGCCAATATTTTACTTTGGCTGTTTTTCTCTATTGGATTTGATTTGATTGCATTGGATTAGATTGGATTGCATTGAATTACAATTTACTATATAAATAACAGTCTTAATTGGAATCCAATCCAATTCAATTCAATCCAATCCAATCCAATGCAATCCAATTAAATTTATCTTCCGGCAAAAATACGAATTTCGTCTTTTTAACTGATTTTGGCGAGTCACATCCATTACAATACAGGGCTATTGCAAGATTTGCCCATCCCCACAGTAGTATCTGTTATGGTAGCTGACTCTCACTCGTCCTGCCAGCCAGAGGTACTGTATACCAGTACAAGGCACTGCTCTCAAGCAACGCATGGGACAGGCCAACAGAAAAAAAAACCATCAAATCAATGAGTACATCAATCAATCAGATTCTGTCTACAGGGTACTAGGTAGTACATGTACCGTACCTGGTACATTACTTATTTTCAATACCCAACTGCCTAATTTCCGTCGTCCCTGAAAACTACGTTTCAACGAAGCATACCGGTAACTACGGTTGCTAGCTAAACTTTGAATCATTCTTGCACCCTTATTATGGCTGGTCTGTTGGTGGGAGTTGAAGTGCGGAACGCTACCGGTACCAACATATTATTATCTATCTCTTCCACCAACAGACAGCAGCCATGCCAGTGATTTCCTTTCCATCCACGCAATACATCCAGCTATTTATCAGTTTCTACCGGAGGCAATCAAGAGTTGGAACGAAAGAAATTGGGTTCCACAGGTACACCACTGTAGGTCTCCATAGACGTGACTTACCGTATATTACATTGGTGGCGGCGGAGGAGGTGGTGGGGGAGGCATATTCATGGTCATGGGTGGTGGTGGAGGAGGAGGCGGTGGGGGTGGCATATTGGATGCCATCATGGACGGCGGCGGCGGCGGGGGTGGTGGTGTGTTGTTGTGGTTGTTGTTGTGACCTAAACCCGCGGAATTCGGCATGGCCGAAGCAAATTGCGTATTAGGCTTGAAAAACGTAGTCGTCGTCGAAGATCCACCGTATTGTTGCTGTCGTTGCTGCTGTCGTTGTTTTTGTTTGGCATCGGCCAACATGCGTTCGGCTCGTGATCCGTGTCGTTCCGGAGCCGCTCCCACCGGTCGTCCCGTCGTTTCGCTTTGCTCTCCCGTGGCGGTTTTCTTGAATGCGTATTGCACGACAATTTGTCGATTTCCCAGATATTGTCCATTCATACAGTCAATGGCGGTATCGCTGGATTGGAAATTATCGTAACTGACAAAGGCAAATCCCTTACTTTCATTGGTAGCTTCGTCTCGTACAATTTTGGGAGGACGAATGAGTTGTCCAAATGCAGAAAATGTCTCGTGCAACAATCCCTCATCGACGTCTCCTTGTGGATCCAAATTTCCAATAAACAAATTGGCACCGACATCCAACGACGAATCTTCGACGCCATTCTTGTTGTGCAAACTGGATTTGGATACTCGAATGGGTCGTCCGTATAACTTGATCATGTTGAGAATCGCCATGGCGTAATCGGCATCGATGGTATCTAGAAATTCCACAAAGCCGTACCCATTGTGCGTCTGCGTCACCTTGTCCTTGGGCATGTATACCGATTGCACGCGGCCCACCTGCACAAAGAGCTCCATCAAAATGTCTTCGGTACACTGCGGATCCAAGTTACCCACATAGACTGTGGCATCTTGGTTGCGGTGTTCCACATTCGCCAGACTCGCCATGACAGACAAATCACTTTTAGCTAGCTAGCTAGCTAGTGGTTATAACAAACAAACAACCGACAATTGAAACGAAGAAGAGAGTCGGTAATAGAAACCAAGGGATGGTAGTCGAGGCAACTTGACTTGAATACTTGCACTGTGGCAAGTTAACCAACAACCTTGCACTGTTGCAATTGTGGCTCTGCGAGTCTGCGAGTGATTAGGGCAGGAAGGTTCGGTCTGAGGCCAACCGTAGATCTTTTGACGCACCGTTGGCCATTGCGTCAAAAGATTGCGTCAAAACGAAAATGACCTGTGGTAGCGATTTATGACTATCCAGTTACCAGATTACTAGAAATCAACCACAACCACAACAACCAAGTAGTAACACACACAACACTATAGCAACCTCTTTATCAACACCACCATCATCAGCCTTTTTCGGCTTATCAGGCGTGGAAGCTACTAGAGAAGAACAAGCGGTCGTTCGACAAGCACAAGAAGAAGAGCTACCATTGTCGACGATTGGAAGATACCGCTCGAAGCAGCGCTTTCGTTCGTTCGTCCGAAGCGACGGTCATATCCCATTGCCGTTCGCTTGTCGCGATCGATCGAGAAGAAGAAGAAGAAGACCGGTAGCAGCGCCATTGTCGCTACCGTCCGTCGAGAAGAAGATACCGTTCGTTCGAAGCTACCGTTCGACACTACCGAAGCTTTCGTTCGAACACCATTGTCGAAGAAGATACCGTTCGTTCGAAGCTACCATTCGAAGCAACTGCTACCAAGCTACCGTTCGAACGACGATGAGAAGAAGACGACGCGACGCTACTGTCGTTCGCTTGTCGAGAAGAAAGAAGAGAGAAGAAGAAGAGATCCTCATTGCCAGTGTAATCGGCAGAGGAACAAGAGAAGAAGAGAAGACCTCCAAGCGGCATAGCAACAGAAGACCTCTCAAGAAGAAGGGGCTCTCTCAAGTGGAGCGAGAGATAGAGACTTCCAAGTGGGAAGCAGAGGTTTGGACTTGGAATATTGATCCCTCCAGTCTGGATCAATTCCTGCCTCATTGTCACAAAGAAATCGATTGAGCCAAAGGAGAGGGACGCCTGATCCAAGAGTTTTGGCTCTAGACTGCCACAGACTGGGTGTGCAGAGCTCATTCCGTGGAATACAGCCTTACTTGTCTGGGTGTGTACAGTTTGCTGTTGGAATAGGAGCAGAGAAGAAGACCCAACAACTGTTGCTCATCCAAGTGATACCGCAAGAGAAAATAATTGGAGGCGAATAGGCAGGCAATCTTGCAGCATGAACAACTATCTACAGAATACCATCGGTATTGCCGAATAGCCACGAGGACAGCATTGAATAGATCAAGGATTGGATGCCTTGTCTCACTCGATACCTTTACGATGCTGATATCAAGAGCATCTGCGAGAACGTGAGGAAACCAGTGGTACCATTCCCAATCTAGCCATTGCGGCTGCAGCCACTGCGAAGCTGCCGCAGCAGTTCAGCCAAGAGAAGTTCCCAACCGTGGACGACAGCTGGGATTTGCTTTGAGAAGCGACTCAGACAACTACGG